GCTGTCATCGTCCAGTCGTCTTCTCTTCTTGACCCTGCTGGGCATCAATTTTTGTACCTTAGACTGGTGCTCAGGCGTCCCGTACGTCGTCTCAAACGACTTCCATGCATTGAGAAGGCTGACACGACCAACCTTGTCGTCTTGATCCTTGAGATGCTTGTAGCCACGCTGATAGATCCTCCTCGCTCGTTCCTTTGCCTCATCGCTAATCTCTTCTGATTCCTCGTCGTCATCTTCTGAGGAGGTGACTTCGAATGCGGCGTATGATGTCCAGACTTTGTGGTGCGCTGATCGTTGGAGGAGTCGTTCGTAGAGCTTTCTTGCATTATCGTATTCTTCCTCCTCGACTTCGAACTCAATGTACTCTTTCCAGAGCATGTCAGGCATATCGAGGCAGTCCTGTTCCACGGCTAATTCGTAGATTGCGCGCGCCCGATCGACATCTTCCAGACCACGTTCCAACTCGGCATACTCCTTCCATCCCACTGCACTCTCTGGATTCCAAGCAACTCGCTTGGCGTGAAGTGTCCTCACCCGGTCAAATTCAAACAGCCTGGTTTCTAGCTCGATGTACTCCCTGAACAACTTTGTCTTGGGACAAATGCCGAGTGATTTTCCCAAGGTTTTCCTGGCTCCATCAATGTTCATTTGGCGAATTTGGAACTCCGCATACGCTAGCCACATCTTTGCCGATGTCCATTTCTTGTGCGGGATTATGCTCTGGCCTGCTTGATAGATGGCTGCAACTTTTTCCATATCTCCAGTTGTGACCTCTTCCCAAGTGGCATAAAATAAGAAGAGATAAATATAACGCCTCCAATGGCGCTTTTCTTGACTTGGAGGGAGCTGTGCAATGGCACGTTCGTAGACATCGCGGACCCTGTCAACATCGCCTGCTGTCTCTTCTAATCTTGCAAGGTCAATCCACGAGTCGTAGTTTTTTGGGTTTTGCCTCAATTCGTCCTCGTATTGGACTCGCCGTTTTGCGAGGACAACGTCTTCGACCCCTTCTTGATCACCAAATTGCTTCTCGAAAGTGGTGTAAGCTTTGTGTAGATTTATAGACTTTGACCGGGGCATTCTATCAAGGGCGAACTTGTAGATAGCTCGTGCACGATCGAATTCTTTGACCTTGCATTCGAATCGAGCGAATTCGATGAATATCTTCTCCGACATGAAGTCATCTCCCAGCACCTCAATGGCCTGAGAGAATACTTCCCTGACCAAATCTTCCCGATTGTTGTCCGCTTCAAACCGTACCCACTTCAGCCAATTGACAGGCTCCGGGTGAACCACAGTGAGTCGCTCGTACAGCGCTCTCGCATTGTCTAGCTCTTCGTACCGAATCTCAAACTTGATGGCAGCAGACCATGCGGCGACATCAGGCTCCCATTGTAACCACCGGTTGAAGACTTCTCGTGTGCCAGAAATATTGCCAAGCATCTCTTCAACCATAACATATTTGAACCATAGCTTGTCTACTCGGGGCAAGATGCCAACGACACGATCTAGCAGATTCCGTGCGTGATTGATATTTCTGGTTTTGAGCTCGGCGTCCACGTATCTGATCCACACGACAGGGTTCGCAGAGTGAAATTCCAGACAGCGTTCAAAGACACTTCTTGCGCGCGCAAACTGGTTCTGCTCGATCTCCCATTGCGCGTAGCGCAAGAAGTTGTTGATATTGACGCGATTCCTTCGAACATAGTCCTCAAAATCCTTTCTCTTTCTTCCTTGAAATTCATGAAGCTCTTCAAGGTCGGCGAATCTAGTTGTAGGGACTTCGACGGAGGTCTCTGTACGGTCAACAGCTTCGCGTAAGAGTTGCTCGGCGGATATCTGTTCTTTGGCGGGCGCCTTGTTCTTGACGCGCGGAGGTCCTCTGCTAGCTTCCATGGCGATTTGATCAGCTTGATCTTTGCAGATCGTTGATAGATAAGGAGTAGATGAATGGTCTGCCTTGAGAGCAAAAGCTCAGTCTGCAGGCGTCCATCACGTGACTCTCGACAGCACATCCGAGTTTCTTCCTCACTACGACAGTATATCTACAAGCGCTTTCGAATGTGCTACTTTGCCTACTGGTATTGCCTTCAAAATCTGGCCGTAAGCTGGATCTGTATCATGTGACTGAAGTCAAGCCGCCAAAGTCGCGCCGAGCGACCTCTGAGAATTCATATCACTCCACTACACACTTCAGCCTACACCTAATAAGAGCGATGAACGCCTAATGTATCGGTGCCATAGAAAACACATTACCATTTCGAAAGTCTAGAGGGCCACAGAGCTAGCTTTCCCACAACGAGGTTACGAAAACAGTTACGAAGGTTAGTCAACAGTGCATGTAATACCATTCCAGCATCTGCCAGCCGAGTCGAAGAGAGAGCGCATATCCATACGAAGACAGCAAACCACCTTACCACCGGAACCATGGCGACGCTCGCCGACGAGCTGTTGGCGGACTTGATGGACTCTGGTTCCGACGGCGAAGGAGACGATCAAGATGAGGCTTATGGGCAAAGTGACTTTTCAGCGTCGAATGGTCTAAACAGTGAAGGAAATGCTCTGGAAGACACGGAGATGAGCGAGGACGACGAAAACGAAGAAGCTACATTAGCTGCAAAAATGGGACTAGGTACTACTGCTGTTGCAGAAGTAGAAGACGGAGAGGAAGCCAAAGCTCGTGTGGAGAAGATGAATCTGGCCGATGTCAGCGATGTCCGCCATGTTGCAAGTCTCATGAAGACTTTGAAGCCCATCATCGAGGTTAGTACTGCCCCATGCCCTCCCACATCAAAGACATCTTCGTTTACAAGCTTTCGAACATTAGACCTGACTCGACCCGTCCTCCAGAAAATCGACTTTTACCAAAGTCAACCCGAATCAGCACTGGCAATGCAAGGATCCATCGAGGATAATCCCGAGTACAAATTGCTGACACAGGCCAATTCTTTGTCCTCCTCGATCGACAGCGAAGTCATCCTCGTTCATAAATTCATCCGTGATCACTATTCGGTGCGATTCCCTGAGCTCGAACGGTTGGTGGAAAGTCCCTTGACATACGCGAAAACAGTCGCAATCATCGGAAATGGTCCCATGGAAGATCTTAAGGCTATCATTGCTTCATCAGAGAATATGGTAGGTGTATCCTTGGACAAAGTCTTGGATGGACCAGCTCTTATGAGCGTACGCATGGAAGCCACCACAACATCGGGACGGGCTATGGAAGATTCTGAGCTGCAGACCGTCCTCCGAGCCTGCGCAATGGTGGTCGAGCTGGATAGAGCGAAGAAGCTCCTCACTGATTACGTCCAATCTCGTATGAACCTCTTTGCGCCAAATCTTACGGTCTTGGTCGGCTCAGAAACGGCGGCTCAGTTGGTGAACACGGCTGGAGGTTTGGCTGGACTTGCAAAGACACCATCATGTAATATCGCGAACATGGGCTGGAAGAAGCAATCGTATGGTCTAGCCACTAACATCGGAGTGCGGCAAAAGGGATATCTATACAATTCACCGCTGATTCAATACGTACCGATGGATCTCAGAAAGCAAGCCATGCGTATTATAGCTGCCAAAGTCGTGCTCGCAGCGCGAGTGGATCAGACCATGAAGGCACACGACAACTCAACTGGCCATCGCTTAAAGGAGGACTGCGAGGCACGATTGGACAAGCTTACCGAAGCAGCACCAAATACCGGTCCTCGAGCTCTACCAGCACCAGATGACAAGCCTGCGCGAAAGCGAGGTGGTCGACGTGCTCGCCAAGCCAAAGAAAAGTATGCCATAACTGAACTTCGCAAACAGCAAAATCGCATGGTCTTCGGCAAAGAGGAAGCAGAGACAGGGTATGGCACTGGCGAAGGCACGAAGGGAATGGGAATGATTGGAGCCAATAATGATGGTCGCGTTCGAAATACGCAAATCGACAAGCGTACAGCTGCCAAACTCAGCAAGAAGAACCCTGGATGGGGTGGCGTAACACCCGTCGGCGGTTTAGCCTCTTCTATGCACGGCTTTGGTCCTGGTGGTGGATTGGGAGCTTCGTCTGTATCTGGTCTAAGAACGGCTGGCGTGGGACAAAGTGCTGCTGGGGGAGGTGGAACCACGTCGACAATTGCCTTTACGCCGTTTCAGGGCCTTGAACTGGCGAACCCGAGTGTCAAAGCTGCAATGGATAGGAAGAGAAAGGCCGACGAGGATCGGTGGTTTAACAGTGGCACTTTCACCCAAGTCGGTGGCGGTGCCACTGTCAAGCCTGAGCCGAAGGTCGATGCAGGTGGCTTCAAGGTTCCTGCGTTACCTGCTATCAAGAGAGTGAAGAAGGAGAAGTAGTCCTACGTTCTTTCGAACTTGGGATCATTGCATTTGATGGCGTTATAAGCGGGCAACGGGCATCTGGTCGATATCTCACCATTGGGACCCTTCAATGGGGCAATGCGCCTTCTGTACGGATATGGAGTACAAGCTGGAGCAATAGGAGTGCCGGTTTTTGAGGTCACACGGTAGGGCATAGCTAGCCTCACGGTTGAGAGATCTTCATAATGCTTTCGCTTTCACTTCGACCTTCGTCGCGAGACGAAACCTAACTATGAAATGTAAGAGGACATTGTCGACAGGGGAAAGAAAGTACGGTCATTATGATAATAGTCAGGGACGGATGTGTCGGCACGTAGAAAAGCCAATCGATGATGCATGTCATCCCTCAAGGACATCTCTGCATGTAGCCATGAATCCAGGCTACGCTCCAATACATGCTCTCCCCATAATCGCTTTCGTATTCTCTATTAGAAACCATGCCTTGGTGTTCCGGGAAAGGGAGTTTGCAAGATCATTCCTTTGGTGCTCTTGGCGCTTAACATCAATCCATCCAACGAAACCTCGTCCACGAGGCGATATTACGAAAATGTGAAAATCATTTGATGGTTTTTTGTCAAACGAAAGACAAGGGTCTGACTCCTACCAGATATATACCAAATGTTGCAGAAGCCCATGCTAGGATCGGGCGGTTGGCGCAATGGTAGCGCATTGGTTTCCGGCGTCAGTTTGGATCTACCAAAGGCTGAGGGTTCGAGGTAAGGCGCCGCAACGCACGATGATTGCTATTATACACACTAACAGATGTATAGTCCCTTGCTGCTCGCAGTATTTCTTTTTGTCCTTTTGTTTTTGTTTTGTTGGGTTCATCAGCCGCATGGGGCATGGACAAGCATTCTGTTTCTCCTTCTCCGTTGATGTAATGTAGTTACGAAAGATGTTGCAGTTCGGTAAAGTACCACATTTGGTCACGGATGGAAAAGAGTAGTAGTTATAGGAGACGCTATTGTTCTTTGTGCATGGTGAGGGGTTGTGCAGGTAATTTTCCCGCCTGGATTTGCATAGTGGGGCATCACAATGGATACTTATGGAGGTGAAGGAAATTTGAAATGGATGATGGATTTATTGATCACACTCTTGTCGATAGTCAAGAGGGGAGTGGAAAATGGGTCGCGTGTTTTTTGGGTATTCCGAGTAAGTCTATGCCAGAAGGTTTCGAGAATGAAGAGGTCGTCTGTCTTTTGTTTGTTGGTCTAGATGCCGTGTGCTGTGGATTGGCGCTTATCGATTAAAGGCCTGTGCTTGCTCGTGAGATATTGGAGAATTGCAGAGATTACGGAGTACGATAGATTCTGTGCACATGATTTCATCTCTGAATGAAGGATCAATCATGCATGGGACTTTGAATTGAGAATTCAACCACTGCAAGATGAGGAGATGCGCTGGAGGACAGTGGGATGCGGAATAATCCTTTGATGTTTCCAACTGATGAGAGAGGTTTGCATGCGTGCATTCGCTTCTCGTGAACGTCTCGGATGTGCAATCTCCTAGAATATCTGAGGCATTACGATCTGAAATTGCAGTTTTGGTTCATGCGACACAAATTCCGATTGAGATCGAAACGAGGCAAAGGGGGGAAGGAATCCTTCAACTTTGACAACTTCTATCGCAAACCACGATCATCCGAGACAGATGGCACTGCTATTTTGGTAGTGAAGTCGGGAGGAATCTCCATCGAAACCACCGACCTACGCCACGCGACGAGGGAGAGTACGGGATGAGCATCGAAGAAGCCTCGATTTCGCCTCGTAAAGAACGCGCCGTATAGTCCAAATGAAGACATCAGCCCAAGATCAATGCGAAGAGTAGAAATCGAAGATCCGAAAACAACGGAAAAATACAGCAAGATCTGCGGAGCTTCCAAACAGGTAACGCGTTGCGAGTACGATGGCACGAGAAACCGATCTCTCCCGGCTTCTTTTCTTCCAGAAACAAAATTCTGTTAAGGGATCGCGGGCAGAGTGACGTGACATCAGAGCCGGGCGCTCATGCCACGTCAAAGCTTAAAAGAGTCATGCGAGCGCAAGGTTTCTGGTCTCTGGTTTCGGTTGCCCATGATCACTGCCATGGGAACATGTGAATGTACCTGAGAAGCGGAGCGCGACCGCGGAGGTGGAGCAGGGCAGAGCAGGCGGCGCGTACGAAGAATTCTGTCGGAAATCGCTTGCTCAGCCCTGCATGTCTCTCAAACCAAGTTTGAAGAGACGTTCAGATGCATGCTTTGTTCACTCGACGGGTTGCCAACAAGGATGTCGATGTCAGAGGTGGGCTTGATGGACACTGGAGGTGTGTGATGTCCATTGCGATTGAGTACTGAATGCATGGAGAATTTTTGGGAACATCATGTTGCAGGAATTTGCGCTGCTGAGCGATGACAGAACGCCCGATTACGAGGTCATTTAGGTACTTACAAAGCCATTGTTTCCTGTCAGCCACATGCACCATCTGGATTTTGGAACACAAGGATGTCATGTTGTTCTCCCGGGATGTGGAGGTGCCCTGGTAGAATCGCAGTTGGACCCAAAGCAGGCAACCGTGAATCGACATGCTCGACCTCGGAAAGGCAAAGCGTTCCGGGTTGCCCATCTGGCATTTGTTGGAACAGCGGTCAAAAGTTGAACCCATTCTCTTGGTGCAAACATAGATGGAACGAATAGGATGGGGAGTACAGACTCCTGGCTGGCGGTATATTGAGAAGGTGCGAAATGATAGGACCGAAAAGGAAATACCGGGAGAAAAGTCAATCTGCAAGCGTGCGTACGTATTTGCACGATGACTTTGAGCCTAGATTCGGATTGACATCTCATCGCCGATGAAGAAGGGGGTCCGTCACAAGTGGGAAGCTCCGTGCTCGTGCCTTTCCAACGGCGACTTCTTCATCGCAAGTTGACACCAAGTCGAACTGCGAGAAGAAAACAGTGCGGTTGCCTCATCAGGGTGGCCGGGATTGGGATTAATCCAAGCAGCTTTCACTGCCACACCTTGTGATCAACAAACAGTCGTCCGGAAGCACGTCCGCAGCTCACCGAGTCTTTGGTCTCAAACGGGCCGTTGGATTGTCTCACTTGAAGAGAAAAGAGAGATCGTTGCATGGTCTGTGTTAGCCATGGAACGATTCCACCTCCTTACTCTGCTTCTAGCGCGGCAAGCAATGGATTAACGTTCACAAGACCCTTAAGGAAGGGAGATCTTTGAGGAGCGACGGTAGATGAGTTGAGATGTACTCGGGATTCACGTTAGGATGTCTAAGATGCTTGAGAGATCCATGAGTCTCTATGCCTGATCGATAGGGGCCCAACCACCTCGAATATCACGATAAGTCGAAGACGAGCCTCCAAGGCAGAAAAAGCGGTCGGACTTTGTCGATAGTCTTGGTTCCAAGACCGAAAAGAGTACGAAGGTGGGGTGGGCAAGTATTCAGAGAGGACAGGAGTCACAGGACCAACCAAGGCCCGGATACTAGTAGTTACTTATTAAATAGTCTACATCTGAGTGCGGTACTAATTTATTGGCAAGGACCAATGGAGAATCCCAAAAAGAATTACTGCGCAGCAATGCACTGTCTCTTGACAAGCGTGTATCATAAATCTTAGGTGGGACACGCCAATTGAATACATATTGCATATTCACTCTGCCAGTGGAGGAAGTATCTGTCGTCGCATCACGTGGTTTCAATCGCAGCAGCAAAGTTGCCCGTTAAAGGTGTTCAAGCCAGGATTTATTACAAGATGTATTTGCCCGGTTGCGAAGTTTCTGTCGCCGCTGGCCTGAGGATCTACCTCGTTTCCAAAGTCGGCGGCATCTAATGCGTCAGGGATGATACTGACTGCAAGCTGTTCTACTGTGGTAGCATGCGCAATAAAGGTTAATCGGCCGGGCTTACCACGTCCCATGTCTTCTCCCACCCAACGTACAAGAATAATTATGATTTTTATATGCCTAGGTAGCAGGAATCGAGAATAGTACGGTCCGCTTAGACCGAAAAGAAAATTGCCAGATATGGTGCAGAGATACAAGAAAGACGACCGTACGCACTGACCCAAGCAGGGGTCAGAATTCACCTTCTTTTGGCCGGTTACCACAGTACAGTCATTTTGTTCAGCGTGTAAAGCGGTGCTAGATAATTTCATGCGAAAGCACTCGAGCATATTGCCATTGTGTTCAGCCCCTGGCGGACTGGCGTGTCAGCCCGGCTGATGTTGAGCAGCATGGGGACTCCTGGCGTCGAGGGGACACAGTAAAGGGTTGCAGGATCCGACAAGTCGGGAACTGGGGATCTCGAGACGGTCCTTCTGGGCCCACCCAGCATTGATTATCCTGCAGGTTCGTGCAAGAAGGTCAGCAAGACTCGGTCCGCGGAGCCAGGGTTCACGTTTTCATCAGGTGCTCTCTGCAAGTTCTCGGCGAGCGTGCGCGGTTTGACCATGTCCACAGTTGTCCTCACAGCAGTCTGGTGGACGTGGACGGGTTGGCCACGCGCGAACACAAGCCAACGCCGACGTGCAGAATGTTTGGAGGAGACGGCCCATATACAGCGTGTTTTGGAAGTGCGTATGATCTGGCAGACTGCCAGCAGTTCCCCTTCGGTGCCGACCCAATGGCAGAGGGAAGGTCGTAGGCAGCTGTTGAGCATGATTGCTGGCTGCGGACTTCGGGCCTTCCATCAAACACGTTAGTGGGTGCTGGGTTGTGAAAAACTTGGCTCGTGGTGATGGTGTTGAGTCGTCGCCGCATTCAAACTCGACTTGAGCAGCGAGATCGAGATTTATGGAGGAATCGAGAGTGAGGGTGCTAGCGTGCATGGGATCGACCTGGCGCGGGCGGGGTCCACGCGCTGCTCACCCTGCATATCGTCTACAAGCCTCGTACTGGGAATAATTAGATGGAGACGTCATTGCCGTGCGAGATTTCAGCCGAGGGGGGCTTGGTCGCTGGTCCGTCCCCGGTAAAATGATTGGGGCGAAGCGAGGCAGAGAAACGTGAGAGGCTGCCCAGGATGAAAAATGGGAGATCGCCGCCGGTCGGGATCACCGCTGTCGGAGTTGAGACCGGGCGATCAGGGAAAAGGATGATTCCATGATGTGCTCTGATGTACTGTACGACTGACTACATGGCGGCGCCTACACTGCGCGCGGAGAAGACGTTCACAATAGTAGGTGCTGAAGGCATCAGTGGCCGTGAGCCGCGAACACATAGCACGGGATGGAGGCTGCACCCTCCTCGGCAAGGGAGGAATCGGGATCAAATCTACGCAGAGCAGGGCTCCAGCGGAGTCCGGACAGCGGGCTGCAAGATAGATCGCGATCGCGATTCGAGAGATGCGCCGCCGCCGCCGCCAGCCCTGACTCCCGATTTCGACCTGAGTTTCGGAGATACTTGCGGCGGCTCACCAGGACGGTACGACAGCTGGTTTTTTGGAGTGCCCAGCCAGGTGCTAGTGGCAGGCAGGAGCCCAGCGCCTTAACGGGCCTTTGTATTGCTGCAGGCTCAGGCTTCAACTGTTCACACAGTCGAATTGGAAGCATAAACGCTGACAGCCAGCAGGGCCATGCCCAGGCCGTGTGGGAACAAGCAGATGCAGGACTCGACGACTCCGGGAGCAGGACTGCAGCACTCTGTGGTGTCGAGCAGCTGCCAGTGGACTCCAGCCCTCCGCCCTCCCTCCTCGCTGCAGGTAGACAAGGCAGGGATTGCAGGGGAGAGATTGGGTCCCGTGTG